ATCGGGCTCATATATATATATATAGTGTTATAATGTTATATAGGGGTTCTATAGGAATAATGGAAAAGAAAATGGAAAATACTAAAATGGGTTATGTAGGGTCTATATTGGGGTTATACAGCGGGTTAAATAGGGATGATGGAAAAGAACATGGGAGCTACTACATATTATAGAAAGGTAAACCCTAAACCCTAAACCCTGGGAGCTTTGCCGGGGCTGCTTCCTGGCAGATGATGTGGGTCTCAGGCCCACAAAACCTTCTTCGTCTCCTCAGGCCTCAACACGAAGCAACATCCAAGAAACCTGAGATACCCAAATGAGCCATAGTCTAAACTCCTTAAAGGGGGATATATACAGGATTCTATAGGGGACTACTACAGGGGTTATTAAGGGGGGGGGTTTAGACTATAGCTCAAATGCAGCCTGAATCCCGCATGCTTCGACCTCTAGTGCTGGACCCTATACCCTGAAACCCTAAGCCCTAAACCCGATTGCAGCGCACTCAGGTGTTTTAACGGTTCCACACGCATGTTGCGACAGAACCGTCCGCCAACACTGCTGCAAAAGTGTCGGAGCCGGAACAAGCCTTCCACGCTTGAGATTCCCTACTGTAGGGACTAATTATAAGGATTATACAGTGGTTATATGCGGTGATATGGGGTTGTATAGGGATTATAGGGTATATATCCCGTGCGAGCTGTCATGGCTTGATTGTTTCGGGTTCGCGGGCAATTCAGCAAACGCTTGGAAGATTAATGCCCCTCACGCTGGGGACTCAGGGATTAGGGTTTAGGGTAAGGGAGGGTCATAGGGCGGATCGGTTGTGCTGGGAGCTGTCGTCTTTTTTCGTGGTAGCCTTTGGGGAGAACTGATCTTTCGTCTACGTTACAACTGGTGTGAATTCTTGTGATAAACAGGAAAAAACCGGCGAACTCGAACTGGGAATGTAGCAATGAGATCACAGATTCATGTGCTGACCAGTTGCTGAGTCTTCCTTTATATCAGGCGAAGGTCAACACAGGATTGCTGGTTTGGGGTCCAAGCTGTGACAGGATGCACGTTACCTTCAGGATTGCTTTGAGCTTCTGAAACTAAGATCCCATGCATGGAGCGCAAGACAAGGCTGCTAGGAACTGAGGTAGGCTAGGAACCCAGTTGAAGGAAGCGCAAACTCGCTTGGTTGGCGCGAAATTGGTTGCGTACGCATCCTGCAGTACGGGCCTGAATCTCCCGCACGTCTTTCAGCTCCTCGCCCACATGTCGGGGCACAGAGAATCTAGCTGTTGATGGATGAAATCTTGCACCACCTTGGGGCCCTAAACTACTGTAATTCCTAGGACTTTAGGGACTTAAAGTGGTGCAAGATTTCCTCCATCAACAGTAGCTTTGGGTTCAGGGTTTAAGGCTAAAGGCTACGGATCTAGTCAAGGCCCCCCTTGGAGTCCTACCATCGGCGCATTCCCTCCATAGCCTCCCTATTCAGTCTCTATGTTGCACAGGGTGAAATCCCCGCGGAATCCTCATATTGCCTCAAACCATCCGTAAGAAACCTTACATACTCCCAAAATGGGAGCCTCATAACTTCCACATTAGACTCATGCATAGGGACCAACAGAGTGCCGCAGTAATCCCTGTACATATCCAAAACGTCCCCAACCCCCAACTGTACCTCTATTTTGCGAAACCTCTTTATTGGGCACCGAAGCCCCCAAAACCCCAAGCGCTAAATATGCCCCACCCTTTCCTCGGCACTCTCGGGCGGAAAGCCGGGTGCGTCCGGATCGCCCCAGGCTACCACGGAGCCGTCCGCACGGAGTGCCGCAAAGGCATGGCTGGATGCCTGACGCGTTAGTTTTGCGGTTTAGGGTTTAGGTTTTCCATACTAAGATTAAGCACCCAAACCCCTGATATGGATTCGGAATATGTAGGCTTTAGGGTGTAGAGCCTAGGATATTAAACACCCCGCCCACCCCTAGTACTAAATATTAACTATAGGAAATTTTATATATTGGGAGACATACATACACACATATATATATATACGTATATGGGAAAGTAGTTGATGTTAAGGGCTCGGGCAGTTTTATATTAGTAAGTAGGGATTACCTGGAGGTTCATGGGTAGGTATAAGCAGGGCAATTCACTGGGTTGCTGTTAAGGAACTTAAGTTAAGTTACCATAATGAGTATATATAGTAATTTATAGGGTTTCCCCAATATTGTAACTTAAATTAAGTTCCTTAACAGCAACCCAGTTCATGTCTAACCCAGTTATACCACTACCTGTGAAGGATCCGGAGTTTAAAGGATTAGCGGTGCGGAATCTGAAGCTAAGAGGTTTAGGGTTTAGGATTTAGGGTCCTAGTGCTGACAGAAAATTGGACTGCTTATGCTTAGGGGAAGACGGGATTCACTGGCGGGACCAGGTGATGAGTTCATTGGCAATTTGCCAGGTTCTCATAATTGCAGTTACCTGTATCCCCAACTAGCGGAATACCTACTTGCCATTCCATGTGGTGAATATGGACATTCAAAAGGTAACAGCGTTTACAATAAAGCGAAACGCTAACAAAAAAAACGAGCGTAAGAGTAGTTCTAGTAATCAACATGATAACCATCATAACCGAGGGAAACAACACCGACAACCTTCAAACTTCTGCACTCCAATTACAGGTCAAATCTGTGCGAATGCCGGCTCAAGACCTTGGGTTGTGGATGGCCCCATCGCTTTGCGCTTTGCTGAGAAAAGCCCTACTTCACCATCTACAATGGCCTGCAAACTGCGGCCAAAGGCGATCCTTCAAAACCCTGTACTTCCAGGTGTGGGGGCATATAACTCTCAGAGGAGCATAGTACGGGTCCTAATTTTGGGGGTGGGGGCAACTAGGATCCCTTGCTTCATCTATAGATATCAGGGCTTAAAGTTATGCCCTAAAGTTATGCCCCTAAACCTACCAAGAGCCTGTATCTGCTGTACACCCTGCAGCTGGCTTCTTGCGGCAGTGCTGTCACCTCAGGTCACGGAGGTGGAGGGCTCAGGGTTTCGGGTTTGAGGTCGAGATACAGGGTGATATAGCGGGATATAGGGTGAATGCGAAAGAAAATGGAAGCTACGATTTTGGGCGTTGGGTCTGACAGTGAACCAAAGCAACTGCCTCCTCCGCCCTGCACCTACAAAGGCCCATTGCAGGAAGGTCCCCAGCACTATGGCAACGCAAACTTGGTAGGGGTCTCCGTGATGCGAGGTGCAGGGCTAATCGGTAGACGTCATCTGAAAACTACAACAATCCTCTCCCCTAATATCTAAGTCGATGTTCCCAATATTTCTAATATACCACAATGGGAGTACTTAATATTAGGGGGGGTGGGGGGGTTGATATGAGGGGAGGGTCCCAAGCTCGAGGGCTGGAGAGTTTTGAGTGTGGAGCTCACGCTATAACTCGCCCCTGACATTCTGGGGTTTAGCAGATTGTAGGGGCTATATAGGAATTATATTGCCTTATCCCTACTGACAACCAGGACGCTGACATTCGGCTCAAGGCTACACAAAGACCCGTGAAGCCTCGCATTCGCAGATGCAGAGCGCAGCTCAGCCATCCAAATCTCTAGTAATTTCTAACTCTAAGGGAAGCCTGCTTCAAATTCTGCGGGTTTCCGTTTTCAAGCCTGCCTTAAACCCCCAAACCCTCAACCCTCGACCCTAAAATCGCAACCTGCCTCCACAGTCGCTACGGCCCCAGGTGACTACCGAACCATCCCGGCGGAGAGCCGCGAAGGCGGCTCGCGAGGCCTGATAAGTCAATGAATGAATGAAGTTTAGGGTTTGAGAAGGGAAGTCTGCGAGGGCTTAAGGATTACCAGGGTTTAAGGTTTCGGGTGCAGGGCTTAGGGTACAGGTCCTTGCTTGGATTTTAAGGGCTTAGGGGCCAGGGCTTGGCAATTGGAGGTTAGGCATTGAATTCATCCCTTCCCTGAATACCAAATCCTTCCTAGTAATATACATTCCCGCAATGTGGTCATATGAGATTGGGAATACGCTTCTTTAGGGGGTGAGGGGCTTCACAAATGGGAACGTGACGGCTCCGCTGTACATGTTGGTCCAATCTCTTACGGGTAGAGGTATACTAAAGCGGGACACTACTCTCTGGGGAAGAGAGCTCTGTTGCAGGAGTTGTTGAGTCCCTGAAACGTAACCACCCCTAGGTAGATAACTGGCTGGCTACCTATACATATATATATATGTGGTCCCCCATATTGGACACCAATCATATACATCATACATTCACCAATATTTTTATTAAAACGCACACCAGAAGCAAATAATCATCCTTACCTGATGCAATCATACCCTGGCTTCCCATCAAGGAACTTAAGCTAAGTTACTATAGCAAGGAAGCCCCAATTCATTCTAAACGATGGTAACTTTAGTAGTTTCCATTGTCTTTTCCATTTTCCCCCTATATAACCCTATAGAACCCCTACATGAACCCTATATAATCCCTATGTAATCCCTATGTAATCCCTATGTAATCCCTATATAACCCCTTAACAGCAGCCCAGCACATCATCTCGGCATAGCGCTCCTGGATCTCGTGCACATCCACCAGTTGTCCTGCCACCTCGGCGCTGTCCCCTCCACACGCCGCCTGCAGAACTGCTGCTTGTATACGGTTTATGTAGGGGTTATATGGGGATTACATAGGGATTACATAGGGTTTATGTATGGGTTATATAGGGGTATATAGGGGTTATATAGGGAAAATGGAGAAGAAAATGGAAACTACTATAATGGGTTGGACTATCACCGTTTTGTACGATGATTATGATTATGATTGTTACTATTGTCATTATTACTGCTCTCTCTACAGATATTTCAAGTGCTGCTGTATCATCAGCGGGCTTACAGTGTTCAAGTTGGCGGCCCAGGGCTTAGAGCTTTAAGTTTGGGATTTGAATTCGGAAGCGCCTCACCTGCTGCAACCTTGATCGGGCAAAATACTAGGTTTAGGGTCTAAATTCGGAATGAACTGCAATCTGAACAACCATGAAAACACACTTTCGGGGTTCCAGGAATAGGGGGCCCAATATGTCCCCCAATATACTTATTATGGAGACCCGCAAAACGGACGACCTACTTTGTGGACTAATCTCTATACACTACTGTACTGATCCTGGTCTCCATCTCAGGTTCCATGTTTCTTTCCATTTGATTCTCCATGATTGCGGGGTAATATATGTACCTAGATAACTCGATACAGCAGTCCATCTTCACCCCCTTTGCTCTTCCACTGGGTTGTATTGGGGCAATATTATATTGGGATTATACTAGGGTTATATTAGTATTAGGGTTATATCAGGGTCATATTAGGGTTATATTAGGATTATATTAGGATTATTTTGGGATAACGGAACATCAAATGGAAACTACTATTTAGGGTTTAGGCTTGACTGAGAAACTTTCGTGCGTTAACATGACCTGACATGATTAGAATCCCAACACCCCGAAAGCCCACCACACCTAAAACCCTGAATTCCAAACCGCGCCTCACCCCAGGTCACAACAGTTCCATCCGCGCGCAGCGCAGCGAATGCAAACCGGGATGCTTGGATCTTCTGTACCTGGGCTTTTAATGTCAGTAGGTTTAGGGTTTATAGTCCACCTGAAGTAGATAGCATATAGGGTATGTGGGGAGCTTAACCTGCGTAGAACAGGTGTACTGGGTTGCTGTTAAGGAACTTAATCAAAGGTGCTACATTGGGGAACCCTACAATTTACTATGTATACCAGGTTTAGGGCTTAGCGGCTGCCAAGTGTACTCAGGGTGCTGCTACTAAAAATTCCCACAGGGCCTCAGTAGACTGTAGCCCAATGTTTCCCAAGATTGAAGGTGCTTAGGGTCATGCAAGATTTGCAGTACACAATCCCGAGATTACTCCTACATCACCCTTGTGTCCACTTCATCGTCCATGTTCTTTCTTCTATTTACTTCTCCATTATCCGGGTAGTAACTTGAGCCACTGATTCTCAACCTCAGGGCTTTGCTGGGTTGCTGCTAAGGAACTTAAACTAAATCAATTACCAAATTTTGGCATGTCGTGAACGATAGGGTTCTAAATGACGTTAATTACCAGATATAGGCATGTCATAAACAAGAAGGTTTCCTTATCATAGTCACTTGAGTTAATTACCATAGTATGGGATCATACTATACAATATGGTTTCCCTTTGATTACCAAATATGGGCATGTAGTAAACAGTAGTATTTCCTCATTATAGTCACTTAAAATCAAGATCCTTAACAGCAACCGAGTTTGGTGGGCAAGCCAGGACCCTGGAAACGCTGAAGTGAGCCTCTCCTGGGCAGACTTATAGCAGGAGTACCAGAAATTGGGATACACATTGGGGCACCCACTTTATGGAACCCGCAACCCTAAACCCTAAACCCTATCCCGTACCTTCTGCTCTGACCTATGGAAGAAAAGAAGGCAGACTCCCTAGCCACTGAACCCTCCTGGACTTCACATGCGTCCCCAGGGAATTCCTCCTTCAAGTCTTTCCGGCTCATGTTGCCCACTACCTGATGAGACCTCAACCGCGAAATTACAATGCTTCAGAACCATAATTCTTCGGCTTTCTTTACGCACCTTCGTTGCAAAGCGGCAGTCGTAAGCTGCTTGAGAACGGGAGTGCTGTCACCGCCCGAGAACTCTTCGCCCCACGTTATCACCTGAAAATGTTTGTTTGGTGGAGTTGGTACGTCAGCTGATACAACGATGTGCTTATTGACTACGGGTATTGTACTCGCATTGACACTTTTCATCATCTGTACTGCTGGGCCGCCGCCGCCACCACGGCCAACAGCAGCAGCACCACAAACACAGAAACGATTGCAACTCATACTACAATGAGTTGAACTACCAGTACACTTGCTTGCAGTCGCAGAAAGGATAGTGTGGGCTGCCTCCTCCTTCTCCTTCTACCTCTGCTTGCTGCCGCTGTTGTTATCTCTGCGGATGCACGCTGATGCTTTTCCTCTTAAGGCTCTTTTCTCGCTTCGGAGGCTGGGTCCGAGCGAGCATCGGCCCTGATTGCAAACTTTCGGGTTCAGGGACTAAAGCTTGGGCCCGGGGGTTCTTGAACATATCTTACAGCACCATTAGAGGCGTTCAAGGGACTGTGACACAGGCTCCTGTTATTTCTTGTGAGAGTCACTCCAGTGAACTCTAATGATCCCTTACCAACAGACGTGACTCAATTTGGACTCCACTTCTGCAGACAACCTTCACGTTTTCGGCGTGAAACTCCAAATTTTGGGGAAGCGCGAGAAGGGGCGTATCAGGAATACCGCAGTTGATGGAAAAATCGGGCAGGACTCTCTCTTCACCTTTACACCAGGAAGGGTGATAGTTTGGTCTACTTAGGGTTACACAAGATAAGCCGGTCAACCGTACAAAGCAAAAGTACAAGCCGACAACTAATGGAAACGTCAACCCTTAAGCCCAAACATTGAACCCCGTGCCTATGGAACCCCTGTTAAAAACTCAAACAAGCTCTGAACCTCCACCCAGGTGCAGAACCATCCGCACGAATGGCGGCAAATGCAGCATCCGTAGCTTGAATCTGGCTGACATTCCTCGGCTCAATGGAACTGAGTAGTGTTTTTTTTGCTGGTTGAACCCAGTAAGATTAATTCCAAATATAAAAGTACTATACCCCAAAAGGAGGATATTATCTTACTCTATGTACCATAATATCCCCAAATAAAATACTACTCAACTGGATGTGTAGGGCACTTCCCTCCCCCAACGCTTCAAGGCCCGTACATCGTAGTTTCCCCAAAAGGGGGAAACCCAGATATAGACCCCACAATACCATAATCCTTATTAGAGGGGTGCCCCAAAAAGGTGCTTCTAATTTTGGGAACCCCACATGGATTTTGAACACGGCTTAGAAGTAGGTGAGGAGCACTCGGGATTCACAAGCAGGGGCTGAAGGCAAGGGGACCCCTCCTAATGGCTTGCAGAGAATTAAGGAAATTTGTCACTTTGGTGTTTTGGGGTGTCTAAGGAATAGGGTTTGGGGTTTAAGGCTTTGGGTTTTTGGGGGGAGTATATAACCACATTTTGTAGTAACCACCAGTAAGGATCGGGAGTCAGCATTGGGACCTCTCAGGTCTTGAGCTCTGGTTTTAACTTTGGTTGGCGAAAAGTTTAGCATCTGATTAGCTGACCAGGAACGAGTCTTCCGGTCACTAACCTTTCCAACAGAAAGGGGCCCTTCAGGCAAACTAGTGCTTCCACAGGGTAGCCAAAGCACGAACAGGACTACGAAAAGTCCTCCGAAACCCTAACAGTTGCAACGTTTTGCAACCCTCTAGACGTTCCCCCTTGAGCCCTGAAGCCCTGATATCCCATTTTGGGATTTTGGGATGGGATGCTAGGAAGGCTCGTCAACAAATCCGACACGCCGCTGCTGTCGCCTCCAAAATGGGGGTTTCCCCAAGCCACTGCCTTACAGCTTGGGAGAGCTTTGCGCTCAGGCTTGCTTGGAGGGTCACGGAGACCTAGTAAGTAGGCTAATAACCCATATAGTAACCCTATTTATCCCATTATTTCCCTAGTTACTAACTCCCCCGACCCTCGAAGTGGGTCTGGAACCTGGAACGGAAAGCACTTCAATCTGAGCTTTGGCTTTGTGCTTGTGGCCCAGAAGGAAAGGCTTGAAGGCAAGAAGCTTAGGATTTGAGGTTTTGGCTTGCCGGTTTAGGGGTTATCAAGGGGGATGCTAGGGGTTTAGACTATAACCCCTAGAATCCCCTATATAATCCCAGTTTCCATTTCATCTTCCACTTTCTTTTCCATTTGGTTCTCCATTATTACGGGGCTAATATTCCTATACACCCCTGGGACCTAGAGCTTCCATTTCATTGTCCATTGTTCTTTTCCATTTGATTCTCCCTTATAAGGGGGTAAGAAGGGGATTGCCCAGATCAAGCCCAGTCACTCTTCCGTCCGCGCAGATCGCAACGAAAGCACCCTCCGAGCACTGCACGTGGCGCACACACCTTGCAACATTGACTCCTACGTGACGGAAGTGAGGAAAACACTCAAGGTGCATGATCTAAATGCCCAACATGATGTTGGCCTGTGTCCTCTGCGGGAGCACATGTTCGGGGGGTGAGGCTGCATTGCTTGAAAATGCGGAGATCACGGATGTATGTCAGAGATTCGGGCTTCTTTCCAAACTTGTGGGTGCGCCTCCGCGAGGTATAGTGCATGCGTGCGCAAGCAAATGCACGTGTAGACGCAAACAGATATGTATGCGCACACACAAACCTGAGTGCACGCATGTGTGCAAGCACCCCCATGCATGCCCCAACGCCATACATGCATGCCCTGACCTGGACCCCGTGTGGTTGTGCCAGCGAAGGTGTAAGTGCGAGGGCGCAGGTATGTCTGCGCGCAAAACATGCAGACATGCGCACATGTATGTTTCCCCAGGCTGCGCGTGCAACAACATGTAACGTGCTTAAATGCACCTGCTCCACACAAGTACAAGTGTGCGCGCAAATCAACAAACGGGAATGTGTCGGGACGCCTGTACCTTCATGCCAAAATGTGCAAAGTAATAGTGTGCGCAGAATTCGTGCGTGCGCGCGTAAAAATACGTGCAAAATCGCAGCATTCATGTATGAGAAAACATGAACATGCGTGTGCATGCGCGCATACTCAGTTGCGTGTGCAAAGGCAAACGCATGTCTGCCCCCACACAAAGACGCGAGCATGTGTGCGTGGACCAAAACGCAGGTGCGCACAAATGCTCAAGCTTGTTCGCAGCACACATGCATGACAACGCCACGCACGCATGCCCTCGGACAGAGATGTGTATGCGTGTGTCCGATTGTGTGTGAACACACATATTTGCGTCTACAAAAGAAGTAATTCAAAGAACTACACAAATACACAGGCGTGAGCATAGAAATGTATGTGAGAAAGTTGTCAGCAGTCAGTGCACAAGCACTTGAACTCATGTGCCACTGCACATGCATTTCTGCCGCCACACACATGAAATGCGCACGCATCTCAAGCCATCTGCATGCGGGCATGCACCTGGACAAACAGGCATGCATGCCGACACGAGTGTGCTTGTGCCGACAATGGCACATGTGCGTTGCACAGGACAGCACAAGCGTGATCACAGAAATGCACGTGTGGGCACAGGCAATGCGTGCCGACACAAACGCATGTTCGCACGGACAAACATATGCGTGAACGCTAAAGGAGCAAACATGCACGTGCGCACACACCCTTGTACGTTTGCGCATAGACATGTCCATGTGTGCATAAGCATTCTACCATGATGCCGCACCTTCAGGTTCGCTTCCTTGCACACCGGAACTTGCGCACATCCACATGTGCGCACGTGCGCATGAACACGCCGCGTTCGACGCATGCCGACAGGAAAACGGCACAAAACCACACAAGAAATGCATGCGTGGGCATTTTCGGACCAGCGCTACACACATGTTTTCGTGTTTCTATACAGACGCGTGTCTTGCACCACACGCTGGCCGCATAGTGGTTTGGCGCGAATCATATCCATGTGGGCCCACAGGGACATATGGTTGTGCCACACAAATACACGGACTCATACGTATGTTTGCGCAGACACGCCTTGATTGGTCTTGGTTCGGTCCGAGTGTTGAAACGCTTGAAATGACTAACTGGGACCCCCTGGCACCCGAAAAAAAAATTCTCTTGCATTTTTGTGCCCGAACTGGACAAGCAAACGTGGTTGGCGTCAACAACTTCACATGTTATTTTGTTCGTGATTTCACCCGCTGCCTTGACATGCGGGTGCTCCCAGAACGCCCATGCTCACACAGACACGCCTGCGGGGCAGATGTTGAATCTAGCATAATCTGGCCACAACAGGTATTTCCAGTCATTGTCTGCGTGTGCTAGCACCAACATTACCAGGATCATGGCCACCACCACCAGCCTTCCCAGCTCGCAGAACTTTGACAGGGAAAACTGCAAGGGCTTGAACGATTCCACACCACACCAGTCAATACGTATGCATTGGGATGTGCGCAACCAGAAACACCTCATGGTATGGCCCGGAATGACTGAGGAACTTAACGGAAGGGGCACCCCGCTCAGGCGAGGAACCAAGCACAATCATCCACAAAAGCAGACAAAGCCCCAAACTCTCTGGGGTCAGATTTCTGCAATCGAACAGTCGCAAAGCCGAAAACAGGCCAACACGCTTGACTTTAAGCTCTCAACCCAGACCAGAACAATCACCACAAGAATGTGCACCACATCTTCCCTCACAAAACCCCAGGGCCCCAGCCTCAACAGCGGCCTCACCACGCTGCAGTCGCCCCCACTCTGGGGACTTCCCCAAGTCACCACCTAAGTGAAGTGAGCTATAGGGGTTTAGGGATTTTGGGGTTTAGGGTTTAGGGGTTTAGGGTAATATCCCCCTTCATAACTCCTATAGGAAGAATTTAGTGTTCAGGGATTTAGGCTTAGGGCTTGCGAATCTAAAACCACCACAGTGAGCTCAAAATCCTACAACCCCCAAAACCCTAACCCATGATTTTCTTGGCCGAAAAAAAAAAACGCAAGTCATGATGCCAAGAGCCCTCATGTTAAGGCAGGGGGCGGAGCCATCACTGCGCACCGCGGCAAATGAGAAGTGGTTCGCCTGCAACTAAAGCAGTAGCACTACAGTCAGGAGGAGGAACGGGAGCAGTACGAATTGTTGAGCAGGACTGGTAGTTGGAATAGAAGTAACAGTAGGACAAACCAAGGCTCGGAGCTAAATAATCATGATAAGTGTAGGACTGATCACTCGAGTTCGTTCCTTGCGGAAACCGCCTGAAAAGCACTGGATGAAAGGTCGCTGTTTCCTTGGGTTTACTCACCGTCGACTAATGGTAAGGTGAATAATGTAGCCCAATACGTACACCATGTATCGTGGCAAGACTGCCCCACCATACTGCTTCTATAACCACCGTATAAGATTTGTTCAGCCAAAATCTTATCACCCAGGCCCCTATGTCACCCTGGCTGCACTTGGATGATCTTTTGACTTAGTGAATCTACCTACTCTCCCCAAGAATCCCTAGCATCAGCCCCACAACCCGTGTTACTAAGCAGACTACATCAAGAGATCCTCCAAGCATGCGTCCTGTATCTTCTGCACATTCTGCAACTCGCTCTGACGCTGCGAGCTGTCCCCGCCAGAAAACTCGTCGCCCCAGGTCACCTTGCACAGATTCCAACCGAAAATCGAGGTCAACGCAAAGGACACTTGTGCAGGAACTACCAAAATCGGACTCGTGATTGTCAGAACTTAAGAAGCCTTGGCGCAATGTACTTTGAGGATGTTGACCGCCAGTTTCGCATTAGCGTGTGAATTGTTTTGGGGTCTCAAAAGTATTCAGGAGTTGTGTTCCAATCATTGACGCTCTTGAAACCTCATCCTTCCAAGGTCTTTGGATACAGTTGCGATGACGGGTTCAGGCTTCGCGGGGCAAAGGAGGAGCAGCCGCAGTAGTCCCCGCCAGGATGAATGCAACGCTATTCAGGCTACGTTCAGACTACTTTCAGGCTACCCCAGAAGGCGTCCATGAGATTGAAAAACCCTCTGCAGATCAGGTGCCACGGAGCCATTCCGGCGGATAGCAGCAAAGGCCAAGTTTGTGGCCTCTCAGCTCAACATATCAACAGCCAAAAATGCTAAACGGAAGTTCTCAGATGAAGGGCGCTCAGAGTTGCGTTGAAGGAGAGTAGGCATGGGGATTCAGGCAGAATACTACAGGGGCCTAACTAATTACCAACATCATTTTGAGGTCCATTTGAAGTACCCCATATACCACCATCATACAAGGAATATGGAACCATAATACTGGTAATTATTTAGGCCCCTGTATTACGAGGGCTTCGAATCAATGGTCATCCTTCTCAGTTTGGTCCAGTCATGTATGGAGGCTTGGACACAGCCCGAAGTCGAGGAGACATTTTTCCCTATGTAACCAAGTTTCCATGTCATGTTCCATGTTCTTTTCCAGTTGATTCTCCATTATTGGGGGTTTCCATTTTAATTTCCATTATTATCATGAAGATAAACAATTGGATCAGCCCCGTGTGTAAACATGGCAAAACCCATCTGACGCGATTCAGAAAAGGCTTGAAGGCTGTAAGATAGGGTTTCGGGGTTCTAGGCATGAGGTAGCCACCATGACGAGCTTTCCACAGCAACGCATTAGTTCGACACTTCGAATATCTATCAACCCCTAGGCGAAGAAAGGCGAAGCAGGCCTGAATCTGCTCCACATCCCGCAGCTGCTCCTGCCATGGACTCCCAGGTTTCAAGGATGGGAAGGGTTTGGGGTTTAAGGGGGGCACCGGTGGATATATAGGGGAATAGTTGAAGAGTGTAGTGTTCCCTCCTGCGTCACATGTATGGGCAGTTTTGATGTTTCAGTGTTGATGATATGCTTCAAACATGAGGGTTCAGGCTTTTGGCCACTAGGTCCAACCACCAGAAAACCATTATTCAATATAATCCCAATATAACCCCAATATATACCCTAGTATAATATAGTCGTTTCCATTTTCTTTTCCATTATCCCTATATGTAACTCAACTACAGGTCCCTCCAAGAGAGTCATCTTGTCTACGCTTTGAATAACTACGATTTCGTGGCTTTGTCGAATACATTGTATTGTACCCTGGACCCTGAAGTCGGTCTTAGGGTTCTAGTCATATAGGGTTCAGCTTGGGGGAAAATTGTCCAGTCCCACTGAAGATTCCTGACTTTAATAACTGACTATCCAGAATCCTATTTCCAAAATCCTGCGGCACAGGGGCAGATGCTCGGCTGAGGGCTTGCCGCTTGGGCAGAGGATTGAAGATGAGAAGATCAACACAACATACCATGTCCACATGGGAGCTAGTGCTAAATGGGGGAGTTTCCAAAATTAGGGGTCTCTTCTTGGGTGTCTCCATATAAGGGTTGTAGTATTTTGGAGGTCTGCATTGGGGTCCCCCACTTCTGGGAACTATCAAATGATCTTCCAAAGCACACACATGTCCCCAGCACACTCTTTTTGTCATAATCCTTGCTTACTTAAGATGTCCTGAACGGCTCTGCTGTCACCTCCACGGCGAGGGTGGCCCCATGTCACCTCAGTGACAGTCAGCAAGGATTTCTCGATTGCAGAAAAGCAATGCAGCTGCACCCATAATCATACAGTCCCCCTTAAGTAGATAGAATATGGCTTTGGGTATGTTATAACAAGATCCACATATACCAGGTACCCCATTTCTATCTACTTAAGGGGGACTATATCCCCTCTCTTCTTTTTTTGAACACCTGACCGCTCACGGTTCAAGGCTTCAAGGCAGGTCTTCAGGCTTGGGCCACGCAACTAGGAGCCCTTGGCCCTTGGCCTTGTGAAGCATTTTCGAACACTAAACAATTACAAAAACCATCCAAGTAAATGAAATCTGCAAAGCCCCGGAAATCATGAATCCCTCCCCCAATGATAAAACAACACACCACCTAATATTGATAGCCCCATAAACCCTAAACCCGTTGCAGCCCAGGTCGCCACGGAGCCATCGCCGCGGAGTGCTGCGAAGGCATACCTTGGCTTGACTGCTTGGAGGCTTCTGGAGACTTGGTCCCTTTGAAAGGGTTCTAGGGAGCCTTTCAGGGGGTCCAGGGGGTAGAGAGGGTTCAGGGCTTAGGGGGTTCAGGTGTGGAGATAGGATTATGCGCTGTAGTGTGCAGGAGTTTGCAGTGTGTACGGGTGTGTTTCGGGTAGATTGTTATGGCTTTGGTTGGGGTTGGTTGGGGGTGGTTTTGCGCGGGTTCCCGTGGCCTCATGTGCTGAGGCTCCAAATATAAAAATAGGGAGCTCCACAGAGATTAGTGGTATCATATACAACATGTTGTGAGGTCCTACGCACAAAACAACAAAAACAATAATCATTCTGGAGCCGCCAGGGTGTAGAGGTTAAGGCATACTTGCGCGCCATGAGAGGATGGGAACCTAGGAGCACTACTACAAGCTTGAATGAGGCTTTTCCGAAAAGTCGACTCCAAACGCCTGAGCCCACCAAACATCGCAAAAGTCGAGGCCCAAACCCACGGCGAAATTACCTGAGCTTGCTCTAAGAGCTGCTCGTAAAACCCTAATACTTGGGGGGTCAAACGGACTTAGTAAGTAGGTTAATAACCCCTATAACCCATATAGTAACCCTGAGTATCCCCATTTTAAAACCTACTTACTAAGTCCCCCTGACCCTCTAAGTACACTTTGCTAAGTCATACACGGCTGACCTGCCCAGGTGCTTTGTAGATTGAAGCTGCCTCACATTTTGGAGCAACTCCTTACAGAATCTGCCCAGGGGTGGACTTGAAGCGGTCTGCATGCTGTGGAGGACAAACCATGCCCGCAAGGATGTTACTAACAAGAATGATAATCGTTATGCTGGAGAAGCAGCTGGACAATCAAATGAAAGTGAGAATGGAAAAACAACACGGAAAATGAAAATGCAACCTACCGTATACTCTTGGTTTCACACCGGCCCAGCTGCTCCGGGTTTGGCTGCACGTGTGCCACCAAAACTGAAAGTCAGCTAGGCGGGCATCAAGAAATCAGGGAGCATCGTGGCTAGTCTAGTAGCATGGACGCCACGTTGACTATCGATACTGAGACTGCTCCATGTTGTACAAGCTGGCAGACAGAGCAAGACTGCAACGCACACATCATTATCTTAGTCTTTCATGATCATCGCCATTCTGCAACCGTATTTGTTTCCAAGGAGCAGATCTCAAGGAGGACAAGATAGATGTAAAAGATACACAAATCATGTGCGTTTCCTCACCTCCCTATGATCCTTACACATCCCGAGGGCCTAGGGTCCCTAACCGACCCTTATGAGACCCCGTGAACGCGAGATTTCCATCCGGTAACTGCTTACACGCAATTGTATGTGGAAAACGATGCGCCGCGTGCTATTTACAGCGCACCATAAGGTCAATTGCAGACTCTTTTCAAGGGGATCCAGGCTTCGACAAAAAAAGGGTCCGTGAGCTGACGTTGGTAAAGCCAAGCAAGTTTTTTGCCCATATAGTAGTTTCCATTTTCTTTTCCATTATCCCTATATAACCTAGATATATACCCCTATACAGCACCTATCTAAACCCTCTATAACCCCAATATAACCCCAATATTACCCTAATATAACCCCAATACAAACCCTATATTAGAATCGCTGCCCCAGTACCTTGACAGCCTGGCAGTCTCCACCTTGGTCAGGCCGACCTCAGGCAATCTCGGTTCACTAGTGTTAGGGACGGTGGCAATGACTTTTCCGAGTCTCTGAGAAAAAGGTGGCACAGGCAAGAGAATTATAACATGACTTCCAATAACAGCGATAGTCATAATTGATGACGAGAGTTGTACTGGCTTTGGGCAAGTTTCCTTGCGGTTACCCTTTTCTAGGACTTCGAGTTAAGTACCTGTGGTTGGGAGCTGTCTATTCAGTCTAGTCACTGAACCTCAATCCACAATCGCCATATCGGGAACGAAGAGTGAATGAAGCTTTTTGGGTCCACTGCTTGCTCGCGGAAACCCCTCAAAGCTCTGAGATGTCGCCTTCTATACGAATCCTAAGGTCATGCCTGTGAAGGATACCCCCCTAAACCCTAAACCCTAAACCCCAAACCCTAAACCCTAAATCCTACCTACTTCCAGGGTGCAGCCAGCGAACCCCACGTCTCCACGGAGCCATCACCCAGGAGCTTTGCACCGGCTCCTCGGGACATAAGTACCTGGGAGCCAGACAGATTTGAGGATCAGAGTTTGGGATGGGTTCAGGATTTAGGGGGTGAGGGTGTAGGGTTCAGGGTTAAGGTCACATCAGATATTGTAAGAGCACCTGGAGCCACCAACACACGACATGAACATGATGTCAAACATACCTGAGCCATGGCATACGCCTTCTGATCGATGGCATGCGCTTTTGACAAGTCGGGCAAGCTGAGAGGATGCTGGCAGGGATGGAGGCTGCCTATCACCTGCAGTGTGGAGGGCTGCCAGAGGCTTCCTATGGTTTAGGGTTTTGGGCTCTGGTTTTTAGGGTTTTGGGTTTGGGGGAACAGGCTCCACAAGGTTACGAACCGAACCCGAAGCTCAAGCCACCACGAGTTCAGGATCTGGACAGGCTCTGGAAGCATTGAACCCGCAAAACACAGGACCCACACCCGCATGATTCCTCAGACTTGGATCCCATCAGCACTTGTGCCAAAGCTAGGGCTATCTACCTTCTTCCCAAGAAAACTATCTTGCAAATCAGCTATGGCCTGAAGCATGATCAAGCATGTAGCCTCAATTAAGGGTACCTTTTTGGGGGTCCCTACCATCAGGATTTTACCTGGGCGGTCTATTTTGGGGTCCCCCTAATCAGGGATACTACCAACTATCCCCATACAATACCTACATAACACTAGTTCCCATTTCATGTTCCAGGGTTCCATCTGATTCTCCATTCTTGGGGTTATAATCCCAATCTATCCCTATATAACCCTAAGTAATATGGAGTTTCCGTTTTCTGTTTCCATTCCCCTATATACCCACTATTTGGGCCCAACCCTAAACCCTAAACCCTAAACCCCTAAACCCCTAAACCCTAAACCCTTAACCCTAAACCCCCAACCAAGTGCAGAGCCCAGCCCGGATACCTGAGTTTGACCCACCACGGCGAACAGAGTATCCCCATCCTTCACATGAGCCTCGTGGATCAAGCACTGTAGGGATTAGAGTTTAGGGGTTTAGGGTTTAGGGTTTAGGGTTTAGGGTTCTATAGGGGCATACAGGGATCGGTAGGGGATCATTTTGGGGTCAGGGATTATATAGGATTTTATAGGGGTATATAAGGGAATGGGGAAGAAAATGGAAGCTACTATTTAGGGTCTCGGGCAGCTGCACATAGATATGTTTACCTCTCCAAAACAGGAAAAGACCATCCTTTTTCCTTCTTGGGATCTCTATAGTCGGGAAGCCCTGACACTCCAACTACTGGGGTTTAGGGTTTAGGGTTTAGGGTTTGGGGTTTGGGGTTTAGGGTTTAGGGTTCAGGGTTTAGGGTGACCTTACGGCAGATCAGGAACCCGACTTAGTAATAGTGGAAGTAGGATGGAAACCACTATATTGTTTGAGCTGAAGTCTGAACTCCTAGTATCCCCCTTAATCAGCCATGTAGTACTCCCCTACATAATCCCCTAAGTACACCCCCTTTAAGGAGTTTAGACTGTAGCTCATTTAGGGTTTTAGGGTTTAGGGTCTAGGAACCAGTCTTCAACTCAACGGCCAATGGCCAGCAGTACACTGGGGCGGGCCAGAGAAAAGCTAAAGATCATCTGACAGCCTCGTACGAATCCCCATATGGTAGTTTCCCTAAATAGGAGGACCTCAATATAAACCCCGAAAATACTATAGTCCTTTTTATTGGGACCCCCAATAAGGTACCCCTAATTTTGGGAAACCCCCAAATAATCGCCATTCCATTCTTTTGGGTCTACTGAGAAAAATTGTCAACTGCGGGTTACCCAGCCTAGTGGCTACTGAATGCGAATTCTACGACATGAAACAGACCGATATGTAGGGATATGTGGTAAAGTTGACCCGTCGGTCAAGCACCTTCGCCCTGCTTCTGCAGCAAATAGGGTCTCAGAGTCTAAGCGTTTTTTTCTCAAAAAGGACGAGTACCGTAACCCAAAACCTGTTCATTTCGATGAAAATGGCCTGGGATTCCTTGGCCATATGGTCATTTGGATGAAGCATGCAGATTCAGGAGATTCGGGACTTGCCGTCCAACACCTCGGCCACTTAACTGCCGCAAAGAGTCTGCCCCCTTAAAAGATAGAGGATCCGCTTCCTTGCATCCCCGCCCAATCTTCTACCTGGCTGTAGGGGTTGAAAATAGACACTCGAATTGCATCGGCCATCCAGAATCATACCCTTCCTCACCATCCTCTTCAACGGCTACCATCCTCTTCAACAGCTCCCAGCCCAACCCCTAAACCCTAAACCTTGTAGTAGTTTCCATTTCCTTTTCCATTATCCCAATGTATACCCCATTGTTATTCCCTGGTAGGGACCCTAAACCGTGTGGATGGAACACTGGGCCGGGCTTGGCAAGATCCTGAAGTCGCATGCTTTAGGGATTTAGGGTTCAAGGCAGAACAAGAAGCATCAGCGTCGTGGCCGATGCCACCGAAAATCCCACAGAAAGGCCCTAAACCGTTAGCCCTTAACCCAAAGACAAACACCGTACATGTGGCACCCACAGCAAGCCTCCTGCAGGCTGTCGCCTTCCTTGAATGGTGTTGAGGTTAGGTGGACTTAGAAAGGCTTATGATTTTTAGGGTCCTACAGTATACTTATAATGCCTCTAACCCAGATAGTCACCCCAGTTATCCCCACTACTAACCCCACTTACTAAGTCCCCCTGACGCTCCAAGAAGTGTTGAGGTACCAACTAAACATGGTCATCTCAAACCCACATGGTAGGATGTCAACAATCTGGTCCCTCTCTCCCTGCATGTTAAGAGTCATATTGTCATGGGGTGGACCCAAAAGCTGCCACAATTTTGACAATTCCCATCTTGGTTTCGGGTATACGTAAAAGTATGCATCATTCTATACACAAGAACTTCCATCCTATACGCCAAGAAATGATCATCCTTAGTATGGGACCTTCAAAAAAGAGGGGGCCCTAATCTATGGTACTGGTTACCACGCTGAATCCTAAACCCTAAACCCCCCATGTGAGCTATAGTCTGAACTCCTTCCACTATTCCTGGAATACTCCCCTATATAATCCCCTATATAACCCCCCTTTAAGCCGTTTAGGGGCTATAGCTCATAAAAAAAATTGACTCAACAACAGCCCAACTTCATGGAGGACCAATCCGCAGGCTGTCGCAAGGGCAGCGACCCTGGCACCTGGCAGAGGCTTCTTGATCTTACTCGCTACATAGGGGCCACTAGGGATACATAGAGGTACATGAGGATGTATAGGGTTTGTTGGTATACAAGGGGATATATAGGGGTGAATAAGGATAGTGTTTTTAGGGAGATATGTAAAGTACCTAATACGAATGGGGGATCAGACGGAAAAGCACGAGGGCTTAAGTAGGATTTGTGTTGTGGCAGTCTTTAAATTTTGGCTATGCGGCTGCTGGATGTAGGAGGTTGCAAAAATGGACCTTGAACCCTAAGCCCCAAACCGCTGGGGATCCTCAGGATATATCAGGTCTGCCAGGGATTACGGGAAGTCCCCAGGAAGGGCTCGTTTCGAGAAGGCCCGCTAGCGTCGGATGTAGACCAGGGATCTTTGGGGATGCTGTGCCTGGGACCTTTCAAGGTAAACACTTTGGGACTCTACTGGGTTGCTGTTAAGGAACATAAATTAAGTTACCATAATGGGTGTGTATATATATACAGAGTGAAGAATAGGGTTTCCCCAGTATAGTGACTTAAATTAGGTTCCTTAACAGCAACTCAGTTGTGCAACCCTGAGATCAACCTTAAACCCTTAAACCCTAAACCACCTCTGAAGCAAACCTCCCTGGCAAGGCGCCGTGGCAAGTTAGCGTGCCCAGAAGACCATGGTCGCACCCCCAAATCCAAAGCCCGAAATAATAATTGCGGTTAGGGTTTAGGGCTTAGGGTTAAGAATAATGCGATATACGAATAATAAACATGATTAATAAAAATCCTATGCTCCTCCTCAAGTAGATAAAATCTAGCTTTGGGTATGTTATGTGAAGATCCCCATATACCCCATATTCGATCTACTTAAGGAGGACTATATCCCCAAATCCCAAGCCCGAAACTTTCGACTCCAAGTCCAAGGACGCCCTAAACTCTACAGGGAGTTTTCCTTTGTACCCTTAGGTTTGTACCCTTGGGTTTTGAGTCCCTAAACCATGGAATATGGCCCTCAATAAGGGTATTTGGGACCCAAAACTTAGGGGTACAAACATTAAGGGTACAAACTTAAAGTCTTTGATCTACATCTCATTTAACCCGCCTAAGGCCGCAGACGCTTGCCACTTGACGGAGCCTTGGGGCCCAGGACCAAGCTCAAAGCTACCAAAGGCTCGCTCGTAGCACAAACATTTGAAAATTGGAGTTGCACACATAACCTTTGGAATAGGGCAGGCGTTTTTGTCAAGAGTCATCATGAATTCATGGGAAACTTCCACTACCAAACAATTCACAGCATCTCTGAATGGAATAGTCACAGTCAAATGTAGAAATCTGAACCGTTAGCAGTATTATTTTGGGCATGTGGAGAAGACTAGGGTTTCCTCATCATAGTGACTTCTTTTAAGTTCCTGAACAGCAACCCATTATTTTGAGGTCTCTTTGCCGCACCCTTTACTTTACTTCGTATTCTACAAGAAATCTAGGACTATAGCGTTGGTAAGTATTTCGGACCCTATATCAGGTCATAACATCCAAGCAGAGTACCCAAAAGCCCCTGAACCGAAACCTTCCAACCCGAACCAAACACTCGGAGTCCTGCTGGAATCCCGAGACTCTCCATATCTGCATGTTGGCTGTGCTACTATCTCCCCCATCAGCAATGGATGTGGCTCTACTATCCTTCCACTTGCTGTTGAAGGTCCGATCTGCGTGAATGCCTGAGCGTCCACTGCAGCGTGGCGCCCGCTAAGCAGCGCTACATGGACGCGCAGAGCCATGGCTCTTGGGTTTTGAAGGGTTTGTAAAGGGGGGAGAGGAATTGGTCATCGGGATTTGGCGACGGTTGGCCTATGCTCTCGGGAGAGTCTAAGGGCAACGTTGAACCCTCAGCCTCCTCCTTCTAGGCTTGGAAGTCTGAGGTTTGGAGTGTGGAGTGGGGTTTGCTGCTGCGTTTGGAGCTCAAATTTCTGTGGGACATGAAGGCTTCGCTCACGCTTCAGAATCTGGAGCTTGAAGATAATACAGAAAGTCAAAGTTCAGTACATGAATAAACGCACGTAGGGCAACTGCAATACAAGCTGCTGCCATCACATCCCAAATAGCAATCTTCACGCAGGTCAATAGACAGAGCTGTGCGATGACCCTACATTTGACCACTCGTGACACAAAGTAGAGACTCCCAGGAGCTTGAAGATTCCGTTTGTGGAAAGCACCAAGCGGATGTAGAAGGTCCCTGAGCTTTAATCAAAGATGAAATCATGCTTGACTTGAAGGACCCTGAAAATTGGGGTCCTCGTGGCAAGCGTGAAGTAGGGTTGGGCGTGAGAGCAAAGGATCCCAATTAAGAGAAGCACCCATTCGGTAGTTTCCAAACATATGGGGACCCCAGTATAGACCCCAATATACTCTAGTCCTTGTTGTAGGAAGCCCTGAAAAGGCACCTCTAGTTTTGGGAAACCCCCTTGTCAATCGCAACGCAGGTGCCTCGCTCTCCACCAGCTTGATGACTTCCTGCGCATGCAGCGTGACAAACCAAGAGCATGGCCACTCTCGTCGCCATGCGAGCCGTACTAACGACTCCTCAAAATGCCTGCGCTCATCACTTCTGAGTAAAACTCATAAGACCTATAGAAAATCACCCGCATGGGACGGCCACACGCTTGCCCTAGGCGAAGTGAGGCAATTGATTACAAGCCCTTGTGAGGGAGGTTCTTTTGCTAGAGCTGCTACTGCTAGTGTCTCACTACAGCTATAATGCCATAATTGCTTTTCTTGCGTCCTGACGTTCATACCTCACATGGCTTGTCTGCTACTTGGTGTGCTCCGCAACTGGTACTGCGACTGCTACTGCTGCTACTGCTACTGCCACTGCGGCTACTTCTTCTTTTGCTTTTGAATACTATGTTACTATGTGCTTGCGATACCCAATACCACTTCCCATGAGGACTTTTTGCAAGCTCGCCGTCTGCACAAGATCGTCCACGGCCGCTGGAGGGCTGTAGCTGGCTGAGCCAGGCTGTTGTAGCCTGTTAAAAGTCTGACTCTCCCTGGCACCTGACGTGACAAAAATTTGGTACCAGGAAAGCTCAAAGGATCCAAAGTCTTGCTGTTGCTTTCGCCCCTCCGCTTTCGAAGGTTGCCTGTCTGCGAAGGCTTTCCAGCAACGCATAAGACTGGAACCGCAGGTTGCGAGCCTGGTTAAATTCTATGAAACGATACTGGCTCAGGCTCCGAACTGCTCAATGGCGTCCTTGCCTGTGTAAACGTTGGCGGCGATGATGCCGATAGCAGCAAACATAGCGAATCTGCCGTTGTTGATCTCACGGTTGCGCATCTCCAGGGTGTACTGGTTCAAGCCAGCGGGGTCACCGAAGTTGCCCGGCTCCTTGGAGGGGTCCTCGGTCCAAGC